CGCCCCCCGTGCCGTGCCCTGCACCCCCCCTGCCGTGCCCTGCGCCCCCCGTGCCGTACCCTGCGCCCCCGCGCGGGGCCCAGCGAGGGGCCGCCCTGAGTGGCAGTTTGGTTGGCCTTTAACTCATAGTTGTCTCAAACATCTTCCTGCGTTCGGCTCCCTGTTTTTCCTCCTGGAACCCCAGTTACAAGCACATTAACCTGCCGGATATGGTCCTATAGTAAATTACTGTGCGGGGTGTTTTTCTACAGCTTTTTTCTCTCCGTTTTTCAGTTTAAACTTCACCGACCTGTCTTCAAGTCAAGTGAGTCTTGTGCCATCTCTCACCGGCTGCCACGCTCGTCCAGCAAAGCTTTTGTGCAGATGTGGATTTCCGACTCCAGAGCGTCCATTTGGCTGTCTTTTATTATTTTCATTTTTCTGTTAAGAGTCCCTATTTATGACTCTAAATTACTTTAAGTTCCGTACCATATTCTTAATAGCTGTTTTCAGTCCTTGTGCATTAATATTTGAGTCATCTCAAGATCAATTTCTATTGTTTGGTATTTTGTTCGTTTGACCATGGGTCTTATCGTTCTGAGTCGTACGTATTTAGTAATTTTTTTTTATCATATGCTGGATATCGTGGAGGAGATGTTTCATGGCTTATGCCATTTCTTTAGAGGTCCTGGGTTTTGCTCCAGTGCGCTTTAAAATTCGTGGTCGACTTTTGGGGTCCTGTCATCAGTTTCGATCTTTGCGAGAGATCTATTCAGACTTAGTCCTAACGCGTTTTTGCTTAGTTCCAGCATGCTTTCCTCATTTTAGGGGGTGCACTTGTTCACGATGCCCGGGCGGGCTGGGCCTCCACGACACGCCCGCCTGCACGAGGACGTGCTGACTGGCCGCGCTCCGGCGTGTGTCAGCATGGCACGACCGCTAGGGCCAGGAGTCCGCTGCCCGCTCTGCGGCACAAGCGTCGCTGAGGCTCGTCGGCCCGGCCTCCCGCCGAGTCCCCCAATGCCACACTCAGCTCCCCCTTCTCGCATCCCTCATGGGTCAAATTCCATTTCGGCCGCGCAAGGCCACTTCCTCGTCTTGCCAAGTCCCCGGCCACCTGCTTCCGCTTTCCTGCTTCACGGCAAGAAAAACGCAGAGCGGGCCTGGCGGCAGCGGGTGACGCTCGCCTCGGGCATTGGATTTTCTCCCAGGGAACAGAGTCGCGCGCTCTTCAGAAACTAAGGTAAGTGTCTCACTTGTTCCTGGTTTTTCAGCTATTCTGGGTCGGGAGGCTCACCTGGCGCCCTTTCCCGTGTCATGCATTGAAGTGGAAATCTTTAACTTTTATCGTGTTCACACGCATTCTTGACCAATAATTCAGAGTTGTGGCCGAGAGGGAAAAGGCTAGACTGTGCGTAATTGTAGATTACAAAAGTCACGCGCAACATCGAGGGACAATATTCTAGAGCAGAAAACGCTCTGGTTTCAGTGAGAAAGAGAGGTTATCATTTTAATATTCAAATCTGTACAAGAGGGGAGGAAACTGAGAAAATCGTGTCAGAGTAGTAAAAACCTCTGCTGATGTATAGTCACATGCTTCAGTCACTAAAATAATTCTAACCTCGAAATTCACGGCTGCAGGTGACATTCTGCCACTACGATTATGTCATATGTCAGTCCACTTCTGTAGGCTTACATTTATATGAACTTGATGGTCAAGGGGCAATTTAAAGCAAAAACTTACCTTGGATTAGCATATTTAAATATATCTATACATCTGTATTTATGTCTATATATCTATATATTTTCAAGATTATCTTTGACTCTGAATAAGGGTATGCACACACATATATGCACAGACATGTATATGGTGTATATATTCATGTACACACATATGTACAGAATTGTCTTATTTATATATATATATAATTTTATATTATGTAGATTGTATATAATAGGTTATGTAAAATATGGGTAAATTATATATATATGTTATTTACTATTTATCTATACAACGTATGTAATAAAAGCCACAAGGACGGATGGCGCAGTAGAGTAAAAAGAATATTACGAGAATCTGATTTATATGTCTGATATCGATGTTGAGTAAGCTTATTCAGGTTGTTCGGATGATATAAATGTTTCTCACACACGGAAAGAGAGATTTAACTAACTTGTATCATCATTTTAGTCTCGAAAATCCAGAGACGTTTGCACGCACGACATTTCTAACACTTAGAGGCTCCTCCGTATGAATTCTAACTTAGTCATCTGATGGACTCTGAACAGGTCGGTGGCACCGCGGCTCGCTCTGCCGATGCGGGGCGGCCAGCACGTGACGCAGCGGCTATGAGGCGTCCGGGGCGTTTTTACCGTCACCGCTGCGGACCCCACCGCCTCCCGCTGCACCTCTCCCGTTCAGCCTGAGCTCTCACACGGAGACGCGCCCTAGGCCCTTCCGTGACACGGGGCTCTGGACGAGGCCACCGGGGGACGGGAAACCGGCGCCGGCTGCAGGAACCCCGTCGGCGACTCCCACGCTCTGGGACTTGGCTTCTCGAGCTCAGGACTCAGACTCGCCCCCCGCAAGCACGCGAACCACACAGAGGCCGTCGTCAGGAGAAGACCTCAGGTTACAGACCATAAGGGTCAGAACTAAGTCACGCGAGGCGCAGTCAGGCTACCGCTCTGTGCTCACTTGCGCTTTTTAATGATTCTCACATATTCTTGTTGGGGACAATAGCTCCGTGGTAGGAACAGGCCGAGTCGCCAGGGTGTCCGGGGGGCACCACCGGCATTCAGAGCGAGTCGCGCGGCCCGACTCTCAAGGTCGTCAAGGTCGCCTTGCGGGCTCAGATGCACTCACCTTCACACGCCGGCTGCAGCCCCGACCACGAGCCGTTGAGCAGGCAGGTGCGCTCGGGGGAGCCCCGGAGCTGGTACCCCACCTCGCAGGAGAAGCGGAGGAGGCTCTTGGTCTTAAACTCGTCTCCGAGCCGAGACCCGTGCGCTGGTGTCCCTGGGTCTCCGCAGAATCCGGGGCTGTGTCCTGCGGAACGGAACACACGCGGCGGCGCACAATGTGGCTGCGCCGTTCGCATCCGCGGCTGCGTTCACAGAGAACGGGAAGTCGCTTAGATGGGCGTGAATACGGGCGGCGGCCGTGCCGCAGCATCCTGGACCCCGTGAGCACAGGACCTTAGCATAGCACGAAAACGGACACTTTAACAAGCCGCCCCTGGGTGACGGAAACAAAAGCAGCCCATTAAGACGCAGTTACGGTGCCGGCTGATGCCTGGGAAGGGCGAGGGCGGGCGGCACTCACTGGGCGCACCCCCTGGACCGTAGAGGGGCGACGGGGTCAAGGGGCACCGGGAAGCCAGCGGAGTCGGGCGAGAGACCCGATTCTTCTCACTTATGTCCGGAGCTGCCGATTCAACAACCAAATGCTGTTTATTTAAGAAACATTCGTGAGAGAAATGGGGCGATTACTCTTTGCAAGGAAGATCGATGATCGATTGCAGAGAGCAGAGGGGGGGAGCGTTGACAGGGAGCACAGAAAAGGCGAGAGCAAACGGGGACACACTGAGCCAAAGCGAGCGAGGGTCCCGGCCTGGGTGACGGAGAAACCTCTGGACCCCTACAGGAGCAAGTGGGAGGAGCAGGCATTTCCTGGCGATGACGGTGATGAGGACGGTAACATATCAAGAGAGCATTTCGGGCTGGACCTGGAACAAGGGCGATAGCGAAGTAATCGTGCCATGACACGGTCCTTCGGATGACGACCACGTCACGCTCACCTGTGCAGTGTGGCAGGGTCCCGCTCCAGCGACTGTCCCCTTGGCAAACTCTGGTGCTGTTGCCTACGAGGGTCTGGGTCCCTCTGCACGCGTAGCGGACCGTGGCCCCGTACGTGAACAGTTCCCCAATGAGGACGGCGTTGGCGGGGACCCCCGGGTGCCCGCAGGATATGGCTGAGGAAAACAGTTAGCGGGAAAGTCATTCCTGTCACACCACTTGGCATTGCTGGGTCTCCCACTTAGACACCCCTACAAATGCCGCCTGTTAACTAAAACCGCCGATTCCGGCTCACCCTGCCGCTCCCCATACATGCGAAATACCAGTTTCCTGATGACGCGCCCCCACCCCGAGTGTGCGTATTACTGCAGATGAGGAAAGGTTTTGTCAATGAAAATAAGAAGGAAAAAAAAATCTTAAATTAAGGTAGCTTTGCTTAAGGGGGAAATTTATATACTGGCTTTCAAAGAGAAACTCACTCCAGGCAAAATCTTTCCATCACCCTTAGCTGTACTCCAAATGTGCAGCATTATTTGAAATGTTAGAAACTGACACAGATCCATCAAGACTATTTGCCCTATTTCTTCAGCTAATACGACAATCATATACTTTGCTTGGGGAAAAGACTCGGTCAAATATGCTCATTCTTCTAGTTCACAGGTCTAAGAAGACCATTCTAACAATTTTTCTTTGATTAGGTAGCAGTTTCAAAAGTTTAAGTGAAATATTAATAATAATAATAATAAATTATCTTGTTCCTCAAGTTGTTCTAAAAACAATCTTAGTATTCCCATACATGTTCTTAAAATTAAACCAGATCAGGCCCATCATCAATTCATAAATTATCCGTCAAAATGACATGTTCTGAAAACCAGATTAATATAGGATAATAAAGATTTCTCTCTCCCTTTCTATAAAGTCCCAAATTAGGGTTAATAATGGACACGTACGCTACTTGCAGACAGTTCACTGGACTCAAGTTCCCAATAAATTATTCAAAGGCCACTGAGCGCCATCCTAGAGTGACAGCGTTTGACCCCTGGCAGCTGCAAAGTGCCATCGGCCGGAAAGCTGGCGTGAAAAGCTGGCTCTGTGCTGACGCTGTCTCCATTCATCAGAGACCACGACTGAATCTAGATAGAGGCCTAAAAAGAAGCTAATTTGAGCTGTATCAGTGAAATGAGTGGTAAATTACCAGTTCCAGGAGAAATAAAAGACAGAAAAAAATCAGTGAAGCAGAAGCCTGGCCCCTCTGCGGACCTGTGTGCCCGCCCGTGTGCATGGTGATTCTGACCGCTACTGACCACACGTGGCCGGACTGGCCGCCGAGGTGAACGAGTCAGTGGAAGCCTGGTCTGGAGCTCTGGGGCACACTGGCTCATTCCAGAACTAATGGAAGCCTCACGCGAGCCATGGAAGGCTCGAAAGAAATGTTTGGGGAGAAAAAGAAAAAAACCTAATTTCTCTGAACGAAGCCCCTGTGTGAAGGCAGAGAAAACCACAAAGCAGATATAATTTGATGGAGAGCGTGATGCAGTTTTAGATGCATTTTTGGTCACATTCACTCTTTTTCTCCAGGGAAGCTGTGTTGTCACCGTCGGAATTACGGATAAGTTTCCATGTGGACTGGGGGGCTTAGGAAGGGCCTGACGGGCAGGGAAAGGCCTCCAGGGCCGACCAGTCTGACACGTGCCGAAACGCTCTCATTGTAAGTGCGAAAATGGGCCAGCAGCCTTTTCCCAGCAAATGCGATTCGTAACGCGGTCGTGAGCCCCCACTTCCTTCATGCCCGCAGAACGAGCATTAGGAAGACAGGATTTTCGTTTTAAAGGCTGTTGGTTTCTGGCTGGTTTTTAAAAGGCCGAGGGCAGGAACCCCTTTCCCTAAATTTCAGGCTCTGTTTTAACAAGATGATGATTCTTTTCTGAGCTCAAGGACAACACGCTTTTTCAAGGCGAAGAAAGACAGACTGGCTATTTGGCTGAAGCAAAAACAAACACAACATCAACCGAAAACGTGATCTTGTTAATCCTCACAGTCGACGGCCCGCTGATGAGCACGGTTTCCGGGGCCACGGCGGGCGTCGCGTGTGCCTGGGGCAGCGCCCCCACCCTGAGGGGCGGCGCCCCCACCCCCTACCCAAATGCACCGGTCAGGCGGGGGTCGCTACGAGGCCATCTATGGGGTTCCCGGCGGGCCACAAGCCCTGGAGGCGCCCCGCCCTTGTCCACTCGGGGTCCAGGCGGGGACCAGAGCCCCGGGCAGCACTGCTGAGCCTGGTCCAGGGTGTTGCGGCCGCCGGCCCCACATTTGAGCCGTGGAGACGGCCACGTGCCGGGCGGCAGAGACACCAGCGGAAGGAAGGGACAGAGGGAGCCCCGGGGTGTCCCAGAGCCGGGTCCCCTCTCCCCGCGAGCATGCCCGTGTCCCCCACCGCCGCCCCCAAACGGTTTGAGTTCTGTTTGTGATTTCTGGCCAATCCATACAGACAGCATAATAATTAGTACAATCTGTGGTGGGGCAAGGGGGTGGAGATTTTGAATACTTGGAAATGAGAAGCCCGTGTTCCTGCAGGGCTGTGTGCGCAGCACCCCCCGTGACCCTCGCTCACCCAGGCACCGGGGCAGGGAGCGGTCCCACAGGCCGGTGGCCGTGCAGCTGAGGGCGGACGAGCCCAGCGGGTAGAAGCCCTCCTCGCAGTGGTACATGACGCTCGTCCCGTACACGAAGCTCTCAGCGGGGCTCGGCTGCCCGTGGCGGACGGCATTGTCCACGAAGCCCGGGTCCGTGCAGTTGACCACTGGAAGAGACAGCACGTGACGTGGTGTCAGGGACGCTCCACGGTGACAGGTGGCGGGCAGGCAGGCGGAGGCGGACTCCCCGTTGCTTTGCAAAGCCCGCAGGGGACGCCGTCCAGCCGGGCCCCCCAGGAACTCTGCTCCTGCCGGGTCCGCTGCTGCCCTGGGCCACAAGGCCCACGCCTTGGTCTCCTGACAACAGGCGTCTTCGATGTAAAGCTTAAAATCAGGCACCTCGTTCAAGGTTTCGTTATGGAAACGGTAACGTGGGACCTGCCGCAGGGAGCTCACATCGCGCTTTCACTGGAGTGTGACCGTTCAGGCCTGAAGCACGGTGGGTCGTGGGCCCCGTGGACGCACGTGGCCCCTTCAGCGCACGCAGGGCAAATGCAGAGGACGGCAAGGAAAAGGCCGACCGAGCGGCCTCCGCCCTGGGCGACCGGCCCGGGAAGGAGCCACGCGCAGGACCTGCCCTGGTCAGTGCCCGGTGCCAGCCGAGCGCCTGTGGCACCCACGGGACAGAGCAGTGAGCGTCGCAGCGGGGAGGACGTGGTCCAGGACACTGCCCAGGACACTGCCCGGCCGGGTGCCTCTGCCCCACAGCGCACGGGGCGGCTCATTCCCAGGGGTCCCTGAGCTGGCACCCCCCACCGACTCCTCTCTGGACAGGAGGCCGGGCGGGCAGGGCGGGGTTCTGAGACCCCTCCGTGTGCATGGGATGACGTTCTGTGCTCTCAAAACCCACCCTGGGTTAACAGGACACACGGACTCACACTCTCTCGGGTGAGAACACCCCAAACCGCGGGCACGGAGCACAGGAGGGCACGTCTGAGGCTCCACGGCTCATCGTGTCCACAGTGCGACTGTGACCAAGACCTGCGCGGTGACCGGAATTACCGCTCGGCGGGCGTCGGACAGACTGGAGAGGACAGTGGCCTTTTAGCACGCAGGTGCTGGACAGGCCAGCCCCGGGGACCCGCGGTGCCCAGGGGGCCGAGTGGTCCCGGTGACCGACCGCAGAGAGCAGCGCTGAACCTGGCTCTACCTGCTCAGACCCTCGGGGACGACCTGCCCAGCCCCTCAGCCTCCATCACGCACGTCCCGACAGGCGGCTTTTAAAATTAAGTGCGAAGCCGGAAGCTCAGCTCCGAAGACAAGAAAACGAGAAGACAAACCACGGACCCTTCAACTCAACAGGGAAACAAAAGTCCCATCTGAAAAACGAGCCGAAGACCTTAACGGACACCGATTAGCCCGCACGATCCCACGGAAGAGAAAACATTTCTTTAAAAACCAACCAAGAACTGGAAGATTTTTCTAACAGCCGTTATTTAAAATGGCCATTTCCCTTCCCATAACAGGTTTCACAGGTATAGATTACAATTAATTAACTGTTAATAAAAACATGCTCCTTTTTATAAAAGCAAAGATGGGGCCACGCACCAGCTGCAGCAGGAGAAACACGTGGACCCAGGGAAAGGCCGGCCGAAGCCCAGGCCCCAGGTGCCCGCACGGCCACTCCGAAGGCTCTGCAGGGAGCGACCCCAGGCACCGAGCAGGCAGAGCCGGCGTCCCGAGGCCGCACAGTGTCATCTACCCACGTTCGCCTGACATCTTTCCAGTGGGGGGGCAGAGAAGTGGCACCTGGATGGGCGGTGTCGGGTGATGACGGAGACCGGGGTCCTCGCCCTGCTGGCTGTTCCCCGTCGGCCCGCGTGTGCCAGCGTCAGCGTCCGGGCTGCGATGGGCCCAGGTTCACAGGAACGCGGGTCAAAGGTCTCTGCAGCATTCCTAACAGCTGCGTGCGTCTATAATTCACTTCAATCACAAAATTATTTACCCATTCAACAGAAAATGGGAAAGAAACCAGAACTGATGGCGGTTTAGCCTCAGGAACATGATACGCAGAACACGCTGCTTACTTTCTGCTGTCCAGATCAACATCTAGTTTAACTATGCACTGAACTTACATGTCATTTTAAAACGTGTGAACTCGGATGTAAAGCATGAGAAACTACGAATTAACCCAATGTGCCATCATTAAATAAAGGGACGGAGCGGATCCGCACGCTTGTGGAGGCCGGACGCGGGAGTTGGGGTGTGGACGGCCTCTGTGTCACCGAGACTGGCCCTGACGGCCAAGCTGGCGGGGGGCAGGGCGTCCGCACAGGAGCGTGGGCCATGGGCCTGGCCAGGCGTCCGCTTCCGGAGCCAGGGACGCTTGTGCTGGAACTCAGCGGCCTGGGAGGCCGGCCGCACACAAGCCCCGTGAGCACAGAGCTGCTTGGTCCCACCTGCCGTGGGGAGGGTGACTGTCCACGCAGGAGCTGTGGTCCCTGGCTCTGCTGCCACAAAGGCGTTTTAATGGACAGAAACCGAAGCGAAACCTTAGCTATCGGGAGCTCAAGTGCCTGGAAATACAGAAACCACAAGACGGCCACGTCTGGGAAATTCGGAGTTTGGCCTAGATCTACGTGACAATTAAAAAAAAAACCAAAAAACGAATTTTAAAAAGGAGATCGAAAAGCAATGAAAACTTCTTAAATACACCCTTCAGTCTAGAAGCTTCAAGGCCAAGATGCCAAACACGTGAGGAGTGACGCGGGGTCGGGCGAGCATGGGGGATGCGCCGTCCCCGGTGCAGAGAACCCCAGCTTGTTGGAGGGACCATCTGTGCAGCCACGGGCCGGCGGCCGCCGAGGGGTGCGTGCGGGGGGCAGCCGGCCCGCTCAGGGGAGGGCGGGCCCAGCCACCTACCTCGGCAGGTGGGCACAGGGCTGCTCCACTGGCCGCTGCTCCGACACTGGGCGCGCGCCGCGCCCTGCAGCACGTAGCCGCTGCTGCACGTGAAGTTCACCACGTCGTTGAGGTTGAACGCGGTGCCGCTCGTGAGCCCGTGGGCGGGATTCCCGGGGTGGCCGCACGTGATGGCTGTGGGGGGGGAGAGGCCACGTCACCGCCAGGACGAGCGGGCCCCCGTGCTCCGTGGGTGGGCACCGCTCCCCGGCGGGGCAGGCAGATGGCACGCGGCAGGGCTTCCAGCTGAGCGGACGCCTCGTCCGTGGGCAGAGGGTGTCGGGGAACGGACCGTGGGCTGAGCCCGCAGGCTGTGATCCTAACTGTGGAAAATAATCTGCACCTGGAAAATGGTCTCCGTTCATCGTAATCATTATTTCCTACTCACAGAAGGATGGAATACCGAGTAATTTTCCAATAAAGCAGTGAAAGCCAAGAGATACTAAATTCTTATATTAATTACGGCTTTTGCATATTTTCTCCTTAGTACACAACAGCTAATTTGGCGAAACTCTCATTCTGAAATACTATAGGGACTTGGTCGATAATCGATATTGCGTGCGTATGAGTGATTTCAATATCAATTTAAACATCATGAAATTAGCAAAAAAAAATAAAATTGTGCAAGCTTAGTAGTATTTTCTCTGACAATTCTTATTGTATGATCCCTCGAAATGTAGCTGTCGTTCTGCCATGCTCAAAATTACAGCAACGTAGAGCACGAAGCCACCTGCACGGACCTTTCGGAAGAAACACATGGCAGTTAAAAAGCCGGTGTTTCTCCTCATTCATCTCGTTTTCTTCTAAGCAAAGCCGTCACTCCTGAATCTTACGCACTGGCCACCGCACTGTCACAGACGATGTTATACTTACATCGACATCCCCTTTGCTTAATTCACAGGGAAATAAAGAACATATCAGGAGAACTACAATTTGTTTAAACCAAATTTTGCAGCAGAGGGTGCAATCTCGTCTAAAAACACTAGCGATACTCATTTTTGAGGTAATAAAGTTTGAGGACGATGCTCACGCCCTCTTTCTGCTGAAGGAGGGGCGGCTCACAGAGCCCTCTGCGTGCTGATGAGCCGGAGGTAAAAACGCAAACACATAGAATATTAGGGCGCACAGCTGTTTCGGGGGCCACAGAGCCAGCGCAGACTCAGACTCAGTGTCCTGGCTGCCTGTGATAAGCTGTGTCCACCTCATTCACCCTGTGGTGGGTCAGGGAAGTGAGTGCAGCCACTGGGCACGGGGGAACTGTGTCTGGAGGGGGAGGGGACCAGCGTCTGGAGGGGGAGGGGACAGGCATCTGG